CAAGAGCGGCCTACCGGTGTTACTTCGGTTACACTTGGAAGCAATCTTGAAGCATTTCCCTTTCCGCTGCCCTGTTGACGAAGGAGGTTTGTTGTATATTAGTAGGGATGTAACCGGTGGGCAAGTAACACTTTGGCCATGCAGGTAGAAGAGGGTGTGACTAGGAGTTGATCTAGGGGGTAGGGCGATATTTTGGCCTAGACATACATTGGATGGATGTATGTATGTTGTAGGCGCCCACCTGGCAATTCGCGGCAAGGTAAGTGCACGTACGAAAGTCTTACATGGCAGGTACTTTGGTCATTGGTGGTACGTCCGTTCTGAGGTACCAGGTAAGTTTGGCATCCATTGAGGGTCAATACTGAAGTATCGTAAACGGTGTCTACTACCTATAACCTACTACACTTATCGGTGTAACAACATCAAGTACATCCTACTTGGGACCTAATGACTCCATGTACGTAAGTACAGCTGTAGCGTTGCCATTGTTCTTTGGTGGTTGTAATTCGTGCCTTCCACCTTGAATTCACATTCTAGTACTAAACAATGGTCCAAGTGTTCGACTGAAACCACGTTGGGGGGTACCCAAATTGTAAGCTTCGACTCCATCACCATCACCATCACCATCACCAATACCTGCAACTGTGACTCTCCTTCCGTTTTGCAACGTTTACTTTTGACAGTGTACGCAACTAGCAGACTTCAGGCGACATTTTATGCTGACGCCTCTGACGGGCACCATCTATCAGCCATCGACTTCCTTCTTGCCTCCTCGTCAGGGCGGTTACACTTTACAAGCATAGCGAGCTCCCACCCACAGCTTTGGTTACACCATCTGTCAACCAAAATTCCTTCCCTTGTTCTGAAATCCCACATCCCTCTTCAATACAACTCTGGCCTACGTCTGCGTCACTTACTAAGTCTACCTACTCGTCTGAGCTACCTGCCTTTGCCTTCCTTATTAGACCCACGGGCATGAGGGACATCTGGCCCCCGCTGCTACAAGATGGGGTTTCGTAGAGGTAGAGTCCCTCGGTCTCGGTAAGTGGTTCTTTCCAGTCTTAACATTTTCATTAACAGCCTGGAGAGCTAACAAGTCATCTAGGAGTGTCGACTCTGCCTCTTTCCGATTCTCCGGAACTGATCCGGCCACTCTTTTCTTGCCGGGAAGCAGCGGCGTCTACCTCACACAGACACGTGGCGGGAGGCCAGCGCTGGGGCGTCGCAGGAAGCCGAAAAAAGTCTCCGAGTTCAGTATTCTAAGTCAGACCTTTGGTATTCCGTCACGTCGGGAGTACGAAAAACGGGCACGGCGGCTCAGTATAAAGTCACAGAGCTCAGGCTTGATCACGGCGCCATCAACACCTCGGCGAGGTCGATCCAGATGCAGAGCAGGTGAGGATAGCGCCCAGGGTGAGCACGAAGATGGCGAGCTTGCGGTAGTTCTACGCAGATCCAGTCGCAAGTCGAGTCGCAAGAGGAGTCGCAGCCGACGAACTTCCACACCTGCCCCAGATAGCACGGCTCAAAGTGGCACGCACATTCCGCATCAGTATACTTTTATGCCTGGCCCGAACTCACAATTCCCGGCACCACTTGGTTATGTACCACCCCCTCCACCACCTCCTCCTCCTGGTGTTGGCTGGTATCACAGTCCGATGACAAATATGAAGGGGATTTCACCGCCAATTAACCATGCAGGTACGACTCACCAGACTCCGTATATGCCTATCCCTTGCCCAGGTGTCCCACTCCCCAGCGCCTACGCTGCGACAACGAGCTGGACAAACTCACCGCACCCAGGACGGGCTGGTCTCCAAAACCCCCTGCACGTCAATCAGACTCTAGCTGCCAACATGCCTGCGATGGCGAGCATGGGCAACCGGCAACAGTTCAATATGACACAGACCGCCTACCCGTGCTACGTACAAGCGGTTCCGAGTGCGCCTGTTATGCCTATTCCTCCACCTCCCCCTCCACCTCCCCCGCCGCCGCCCCCACGGGAATGGCTCAACGTACATCCCGCGACAGCTGGTCGCTCTCAACCTGTCGCTCCGCATGGCAGAGAAAGAGGCAGAGATTCGAGAAAGGCGGATTGGGGAGAACCAGCTAGAAATATGCGCGAAGCCTCGAAACCGGCTCAAAAGAGAGCAGCTTCTGATATCGATCTGGATGAGATTAGGCGACGCATCCACCATGTCCATGTCTGCGCCGGTTGTGGCAAGAAACGGTCCAGAGGCTATCACCGAGATAACCCGTTAAAGAAAGGCGAAGTTCCAGCGCTTGGATACTGCACCAGATGCGTGCGGCATGCTGAAGATGGCGGGCTCGACCCGGATATTGCGGATGGCGCATCCGTTAGAAAGGTCTGTCTTAAGCGACTGGATTCGTCACTCTTACATGGTAGGGCTAACAACGCCACAGTTCTCTGCAGACTACCCTTTCCCCTCCTGGAGTACCGATGAGGGTCGGGCCATCGGCAGTGGAGGCTATGTCTATAAGAAGACGCGCCAAGGGAATCGATGGGCGAAGAGACCCAAGCGATTCGGTTTTTTCTCCAGGCTATTCTCACGTGGGAAGGGGGACAACAATGTATACCCATCGTCGATATCCATCTCTTCCGCAGAAGAGTCAAGATCAAGAATGTCCTCCCCAGTGTCTGACTTTATAGAGTCACATATCACCCGTCGGACCTCTGCTCATCAACGGAAATCAGAGGCCGAGGACCGCGACTTTCAGATGGAGGAATCCACATTGGCCGACCCTCGTCCCGAACTCGTTCCTACGCCCGCGCCGCATCACGATGGCAACTCGCCCCTCTGCCCACGAGTCACAAAAGCTTGTGGCGTGGGAGAAGGCGGTGGTGCTCAATCTCCGACCCGAATGGCACGAAGCCACAAGAAACGTCGGAGTCGTATCCCCAGGCCTCGGTTGCAAGCACAACCACAACTTTGGGCGGAACCAACCCACTGTGACAACTCCTACCCGGTGGAGGTTCAGGGGCCGGCGTCCGCAGTCGACGAGCAGCGCCACTCGCGGGACGTCGAGCCAGGAAGTGGTGCGGGAGTCATCCAAGCACCGCAGTCCCATGAACAATCGGCCGATCCCAAGATTTCAACACGCCAGACCTCCACAGAAACATCCATCCCGATACAAAGAACGCAGACGCGAAGCAGTTCTGTTGACTCTATCCATATGAACCCAACGTCTCTGCCGGCAAGAAGCGGGATTGCCGATACCTCTGGATGTGTATTGGGTGGGAATAACAAGCATCGGAGAACCCGGATCCCGAAGATAACTGTGACTGGAACCTCGGAGCCTGCCGCGGAAGGGGATATTGGCAATGACTGTGACAGCAATAAACGAGGTGCTTATAGTACCGAGGCCTTTGTCCAGAACAACAAGAACAATAAAGCCAAGTCAGAGCGTCCACCTAGCCCACTGCCGTTCGCTGGCTATGAGAACTACGAGAACTGCGAGAACCACGAGCGAGGTTCACCACATGTCCCACCCGATATGATGTCGGGGGCACATGGTAACCCCGGAGCGTTCTCTAATTTCGAGGAGCCATTAACGCCTACGAATACGCTGTACGATGGGGATGGCGTTTTCCACACTCCTTATTTCATCATCAGCGAGTCATGGCTGGGAGACCAGTCTGATATCGAGCGCGAGGCGGAAGAGAGCGCGGAGCGAGACCTGGCTGCAGCGGGTAAGCTCTTTGATGACTTCTCGAGCACTCTGGGAGGCTCTGCAACCACAGGCTTTCCGCTGTCTAGCCTGGTGACGACCAGTAACATGTCTATAGTGAGCTACGATTCCGACTCCGAGTCTGACTCGAGTTATGGAGCCAACAGCACAGTACTCAGGCCAGTGCCGCGAATTGGTAAGCTTGTACATGACAGTTTTATCTCTACCCGACTTAGGTACAGCCGCTCACCTTATCTCTAGAGTTTTCCAGCGAAGTTGAAAGACAACTCAAAACACGAGGTGTTGATGCTTCGGCTAAACCGACGTCAGCCCTTTCTGGCAAATTGACCTGCAATGCCGGCAACGAGACACACTTCTCGGCCCCTGGAAGGCCCGAATTGTACGACCGAAATGATGCTAAAGAACACAGCGGGACCACGTCCGAAGAGGAAGCCGACTACGCCCCGTCAAGCATCGGATCGTCTCTGATCGGTCACACAGGACACTCAGCAGATGAGCTTGTACTGTATCCAAATGCCCAGGAACGCCCTTCTACCCGAAGTGGCCCACGACACCGTCCTTATAAACAGCTACCTTCTGCTTGATCACGCGACGTCAAAGTAAAAGGATCACTGGCAACGACATAGCAGTCCGAAGCTATCAGTATCGCAAAATCAAGAATTGCCAAGAGCAGATAAGGAGCTACCGGATGGTGTTCCCGGAAGTTCGACAGTTGAAACACGTCGTCAGTCGCATGTTTTACTTACTTCCTTCTCACAAAGCAGATTGCCTGAGCTGAAAACACCAAAAGACAACAAAAAATATTGCTGTAACAACACCTGTAAACAAAAACATTTGAGATAACTTCTTTTCGGACTAGATTGCACTTGCTGAGAGTGTGCCCGAAAAGCAACGGCTGATGAGCGCTGTACATTACTTTCACAAGCAGAAGGCAGGCAGGTAGGAGATGCACATTGTGGGCGTTGAAAAGAAGAATGTGGGAGCCATTGAGAGGCTCTGAGAGAGTTAACCTAGTCTAGTCATAGCTGTAGCAAGTGCAGACAACAGATAAGATAGACAGACAATCGAGAGTTTTTAGCATGACGATGAATTGATATTTACCAGTCTTCTGAAGGTTGTTGGTCTACTAGATACCACGTAAGTATGTAACCAAGGGAAGAAAAACAAGTAAGAAAGAAATAGGCTGCATCTTACTTACATGGAAATGTACAGATGCATATAGGCACGTATGTTGAGTCAACTGTCACAGTTGCAGGGATCCATCTAACTAGGTTAACCTACATCTTCCAGCCCGCTTGGCTCACCGGTAGAGCGCCTCACTAGTATCTGTACCATCTTAAAACATGGACAGGCACCAAGTGATGAGGAGGCAACTGGTTCGACTCCAGTAGTGGGCAACTCATTTTTGCTTTTTTCTTGCCTGCTTGCTGTGTTTTTCTCATTTGCTTTGTTTGTTTGTTTATACATTTTACATAACGAGAGCAATGTATATGAAATCATGTACTTTATTTCACTTTCTCTATAATGTGCGCATCGCCATGCTTTGCTTATTGAAGCTACCTTGTTTTTTTCTCTACCCTCCTGATATCCGCCTGAATTTTACAAATGTCGCCACACCCGGGAGTAAGCAATAATATTCTCTGCAAATAGTTTGATCGCTTGCTAACAATCCGACGGCAGGGAAAGACCATGGTATAATAGCGGTGAGGGAGTCTGTCTCTTCTTAACACCGTTCTGTCTCTTTGCCTCCCTTATTCTACTCTAAGAACCCTAGGACCACGCTTCTTGGTAGCCTTCTTCTTCTTATGGCCGCGTTCGAACGAGGCTGCAGCGACATGGTCCCGTCCGACGTTGTCAAGATCCTTGACCTTGTAGATTCGGATGATCCAGTTTTCTGACGTGTAGGCCTCCTCCAAAGTGTTGAGTACAGGACCCTGGTCAGGGAGACGGGCACCGCGGACGCGGTCCTGGGCCTGCCCTGGAGGGAACAACGAAGCGTAGTTGTAGTACGACATCTTGTACCTGTTTCATGTCATTAGCCAATGCTCGTCTGTCACAGTTTCGGCGTCAATGTAACCCACATTAAACTATTCTTCATTGTCTCAGTGGCTTCGCCATCGACCCTGTACTCGCCACGGGGAGTAAAGAAGGAGCTCTCCTTGACCTCGTCGGGCCAGATACCCTCGGCGATTCTGACCATCCACAAGAACTTGTTGATATCGTCGCCAGAGTATCCCAGGAGACCACCGAAGACGACCAAGACGTAGTCGACCTCGTGCTGGCGCATAATGGTATAACTGACTTCTTCACTTGAGCTCATCGCCTTGCCAACTGTGGCAATGTGAGTGTTGTTCCACGTGTTGTTGTCGACCAAGGTTGGGCGGTCGGCCATGCCACCAATCTGATAACCGTAGTCCCACCACGACATAATCTTAGCGTCTTCCTTGGTGTTCTGTCGCAGCCACTGGTAGGCCTCGCGATAGTCGTCAATGATGTGTTGACTGCCATCCGGCATCCGGCTCGCCAGGACAACCGATGGCGATGAGTAAGCATTTGAGGTAACCCAGGTGCAGTGCTGGACGAAAATAAGGAGGAAGATGGACATGGCGCCGGCAATGAATGCCTTGGACAGGACATTGTAAATACCAACGACGGGCTGTGAAGCAGACCGCAACGTATTCTTGGATGCTTTCTTGGGTGTTGCGTCAGAGGCTTCTTCCTCGGCATCGGGCTCCTCGGGAGATCGGTACTGAAGGTACGTATCGAGCAGCTGGGAAGCAGCAATAGCGGCAGCCACACACACAACCGGGGTGAGGGTGAGCATGAGGCGCACCATGACGCCGGCGAAGTAACTCCCGAACAGGGCATAGACAATGATAAACACGTGCTCGTCCTCGAGCCTCTGGAAGCACATGTAGACACCTGCCGGGAAGAGCCAGATCAACATATTAAGGTCGAAAAAGAAGGCCGGCCAGGCCGTGGGTTGATGTTCGGAAACGGATGCAATGATGGGAATATGGATCTTGGCGTATCCGGTATCCCAGAGAGAGTAGAATCGGCCAGACCAAGGGGCGATGTAGCCAGCCGCCGTCAACCCAACAAGACCCAAGAGGCCGGCTCCGAAGATACCACCCAGACCTACGTACAAGAAGGTCTGGAATTGCCGACTGGGGACAGCCGAGCGAACGTATTCAAGGAATGCGACCAGCTGGAGGAAGCCAAAGATACCCAAAGCCGGCATGTGTTCGCTCGTACGGACGGGCAAGAAACCAACAAAGGGGATCTGCATGCTGGCCAGAGTTCCCAGTGCATACCAAGTGGTGTATGCGACGTAGAGGCGCATGCTGAACCTTCCCATGCACACAAGGACGAAGGCGTGGAGAGGGACCAGACAGGTGATGAAGGCATAGCCACCCCACGAAGCAACCATGTAACCGTAGAAAAGGGCGCAAAGAGCACCCCAGAGGACGGAGCCGAGCTTCAATGCCTTGATCCAGAGGTAGAAGGTGAATACAAGAAGGAAAATGGCGATGGCCTCGTTATCGTAGGAGCCGGCAACGGATCTCGATATGTATCCAGGGGTGATACCCATAAAGGCAGCCGCGAGGAGACCGGCGGACGAGGATGTTGTCATCTCATTCGTAAGGAGATAAGCAGCGTAGGCCGTCAAGCCGGAGAATGCCGGGGCTAGCAGTACGCAGATGTTTCGAATATCGACGGGCACGGTCAAGAACCGCAGAATGTGGTAGATGACACCACTGGTAACCATGAGACCCGGGTACAGCGTACCGCCAGTGACACGTCCGAGAGGGTGCCATGTTCGGTCGTCGAACCAGTCCCAAAACTGGTAGAATCCATTCGCGACGAGGTATTTGGTGGCTCGGAAGTTAAACCATGGATCGACTGCGCCAGTTGTCAATATATTGGAGACTAGCCGGCCGGGGAGAATAGGAGGCGACTTACATTCGTGAATGATACTCTCGAAGCCTATAAAGCGAACGGCCATGCCGACCAGAGTTAGCCCGGCCCAGTCATAATGGCCCAAGGGAGGGAGTATGACGCAGACTCACGGATGACGGAGAATAGACGGCTCGCGACGGCAGCGGCAGCAATGAGGGCTAGGATGATGACCTTCAACAGTGTTTTGGTGCTCTGGTTCTTGCCAACCGAGACCAGCAGGCCGACTGGAGAGCTGGCGTCCGTAGACGCTGCCATTGTGGGGAGAGAGGATGCGGTGCGGACCGTTGCGACAGCTATATCTCAAGATGACGTCGCATCTAGATTCGTGGCATGAAGAGAAGAGAAGAGAAGTTGGTCAGGACTGAAACAGGAAGCTGTTCGATTCAACTCCCATGTTTGCTCGAGCATTGAAGCTTCCAGTTCGTTATCCACCCGTGCAGTTGACCCGTAGGCTGTAACTTGGTAAGCCAAGAAAAGGGCGCCCCAGATTTCAAGGTACGGGGTAGGAGAGGACAGCTGTAGCTTTCAGGGGACCCGTAATGCCTGATGCATCTTTCACCTAATGAAACCTATCTTACTAATGGGGTTTTAATATTTATCAATCAAGGTCCTTGCCTCATAGACATACTTGTACATATGTACCTAGTCTACTGCATGTGTGTATTCACAAACTTCGCATGCAAGTTGATAGGAACAATGGAGTCTTCTGTTTACAGTAGAACTCCCACTGAGAAGAAGAAGAAGACCCTCACATAAGGAGACTTCCAAATACTGGAACTTGATACAATCACAAGCTCCCACCACGCAAATGATCATGTTGTATCTCTAAGCTCAAAGCATCCTCTTACTGTAAAATGTCAAGGGTTAATCAGTGAGAGTGTGACAGAATTGAGCACTATTACGTCTCATGCGAGCGTATGCATATTTATGTCGCATATTCTGCTCTATATTTAGCCCATAGTAAACTACTGTAGGTTTGAAATTAAACTGTATGGGCAGTACATCAGATTTCACGGATGTTTATGGCCATGGTTTCCTAGCACCGGCATATTTGGCACGGTCTCGCTTTCATGTTCTCAGGGAGCGAGTTCTTCAAAAATGGATACCTCCCTGTGTATGTATTCCTACCACATCGTATCGTCACGCTGATGGATATATGCCACAACGAAGCCGTCTGAGCAGCAACCGCAGAGTTGCAAGGGGTGAGAAGCAAGTCTCCCTGAAATGGCGGGGATAGAGCAACATATAGTTCGTGTATTATCCAACATTAGTCTTTGGAGGCGTCGGGAGGGTCTGAATTGGTATAGGTATAATAAGATTGATGTACATGGAGAACGCAAGGAGATCTAAAACCCAGTAGCTTTTAAAGCGGTACAATCATACAGTCATGGGTCTCGAGACGAAGGGGGTACTGCGCTGTGGTTGCCCGGGGAGGTGTGCAACAGGAAAGGAGCTCGACTCGTCATCACTCCGGAGAAGACCCCCTCGACTTTCGAGGCTTGGCCGATAACGGTCACTTTCGGTTTCTTTTTCTTTCCCCCAGTCTATCCCAGGTTTGAATTTTTTTGCACATCTAAGGTATGTAACAGATAGCGCATCAAGGGTGCTTTTCAGCTAAAGCGTTGAGGTAGGCCTCGAGGTCGAATTTGGGATCCATGGGGCTTAGGTCCACTACCAGGAGAGGTCAGTACACGTCCGAGAAGAAGGGGGGTGGTGGTTGTCGCATACAAGGACTCTTCTCGGTGCTTTGCGACTTGGGCAGCTTCGACTTGGCGTATTCGGCCTTGGCCTGCTCTATTAAGTGCTGCTTGTGTTCGTATTCCTTCTTCGCGGCAGCAGCTTGTTGTGAGGCGGTGATCTTTCGCTGGTGGGTGAAGCCGTAGAAGACACCGAAGGCAAGGGCCGAGTACCGAAGTACCTGTTGTTTTCAAGGAATGTCAATGGGAAACTGCCGTTAATTGCGCATTGCCGTCGCGGTAGTAGTACATACGTTGACTCCTGAAGAGGACATCTTGGATGACGGTATGTGATTGACTTTCGCGCGAGGAAAGAGGGACGGGAGAGCGCGAAGTTCGATCTGGACCGATCCGTGGCGTGGGTGGGAAAGCTTTTGAACAGAGGTGATGGTGATGTCGCCGGGATGAGAATGTAATGAGGTTAAGGAAAACAAGCGGATAAACGGTCGAAGTCGGGTTACTGAAAATTATTAGAGCCGACGGTACTGCTGTACCTACCTGGCTACTGGTACTTTAGCAGGTACTTCCTATCCTAGACCATGTAAACCAGCTGAAGTTTGGAAGGGTTAAGGTTGAAATGCCAATGCCTCGATTGACCGATAGCCTCGGGCGTGTCACTATTTTCATTCCTATGTTGATTGAGCTTGCGTTTAAGAGCACGTTGTGTTTTGTAGCCAACACTTGACAGGTACTTTTCAGGT